TGTTAGTGTCGTTGTCTTACCGTTTTGTTGGTGTTTATTGTCTATCCCTTTTGTTAGTGTTGTTGTCTTCCCCTTTTGTAAGTGTCGTTGTCTATCTCTTTTGTTAGCGTCGTTGTCTTTCCCTTTTGTTAGTGTTGTTGTCTATCCCTTTTGTTAGTGTTGTCGTCTTTCCCTTTTGTTAGTGTCGTTGTCTTTCCCTTTTGTTAATGTTGTTGTCTATCCCTTTTGTTAGTGTTGTCGTCTTTCCCTTTTGTTAGTGTCGTTGTCTTTCCCTTTTGTTAGTGTCGTTGTCTATCCTTTTGTTAGTGTCGTTGTCTTTCCCTTTTGTTAGCGTCGTTGTCTATCCCTTTTGTTAGTGTCGTTGTCTATCCTTTTGTTAGTGACGTTGTCTTTCCCTTTTGGTAGTGTTGTCGTCTTTCCCTTTTGTTTGTGTTGTTGTCTTTCCCTTTTGTTAGTGTTGTTGTCTATCCTTTTGTTAGTGTTGTCGTCTTTCCCTTTTGTTAGTGTTGTTGTCTTTACCTTTTGTGGTGTCTGCCGTTCCTGCTATAGAATTTCCTGTTTCTTTGCAGTTCTATCTGTTGCTGTTATAGACTTTCCACTCGATTTGTTGTCTTAAATTTTTAAGCTACTCTTTTCCCTGAAATTTTGGCGCGTCTCTTCTGTCGCTTGTGTCTACTTATCTTTGTATTAATGTCGTTCTGATCTTATTGCAGATTTTCCTGTTGTTTTATCGATCCTGGTGATGTCTTTCTTTTCCTTTTCGGTACCTTGAATTTCTTTGTTGTCTCTTTACATCACATTAGCGTTCTAATATTGCATTCCATTGCTTTCTATTGCTTTCCATTGCAGACAAACAGACAGACAGCTAGACATACTGGCAACCTTACTGGCAACCTGACACACTGTATAAATTTGTTTATTATCTTTATCATTACTTCGAATCTCCCTTAGAGATTGTGTGTCTTGGAGGAAAGATATCATTGTTAAACCGAAATGACTGCATGCTTTGTTAAACATAAGGACAAGTGATCTAGAAACAAAGGACTTGACAAGATAAAGTATAATACTCCCAACTAACCTTATTTTATTTCATATCTTTCCCAATCTCTTCTAAAAGTAAATAGTAAATTGTGGTATAATCCCAAGTTGTTATGAACTCCACACTTCCTTCATATCTTTTTTTCTTATTACTTTTCGTTCTCATTAACTCTTCCAATAAACTTTTCAATCATTAAAATGGCATCTTCAAGTTAGCAAAGGGCGAACTTCACTTGGGTTTTATTGATACAAAAAAGAACACAAAGAATACATGTGCTGTACACATGTAGTTGGGTAATATCAGACGAGTTATTTCCCTTGATTTCCACGGCCAGTAACTGCTCATCTTAATCCAACATAACGAGTATACTGACTAAATAACCATCCTCAGAAATCCAGAATATACTTACTTACATAGGAGAACAACGACTCGTAGTGTTGTATGTTGTATCAATATGACATTTATTTGTCCTTATCAAACAAACCAAAGCACTTTCTTTTTATCGAGTAATGAGACGGGTGAAGAGACTAGCCTCTTTTGTACAATAGAAAAAATGTGACAAATCCAATGTCAACAAACATGGTGACTGTCATTGTCGTCCTGACGACAAAAAATCGCCGTGATTACAATCTGTCAGCTTAATTATTGATCGTGTTTACATTTTCATCATTCCTATATAGGTGTGTTTTATGTTGTCGGTACAGCATATGTGTGTTTTATCATTAGAACACATAGGATGGTGGATTCCCCCTTCGGTATCGATACCCGGGCTAACTTAGAAAGATAAGGTGACTTTGGGCAGGTATCCATGTTTTAAACAACGTTGTACTGTAGAACTGAACAGAGTGTCCATTATGATCAAAGATAATACAAACATGTGTTGTTTGCATTGTCAATCTTCTGACGGTTTGACTAGAGTTCTGAGCGGGTTGACTAACACCAATCGTATCTGGGATCTACTGTTCCATTGAGAGAATAGCATTGTGACTTAAGCGTTTCCACGTATAGCTCATATTACATATATCACAACATGGTTTACTGCTATAGTATACGAGAGTTTAAGGAATTATATGTCTAGTGTGGGACTGCTTTATACTGTTTCTGATGATACTCCTCGGGTAAAGATGATAGCTCCATTTCGTTATCCAAGGACACAGGCAGACTTAGAATGCTTCCGTAAGTACAAACACCTTATATGATAAAACATAATGTTATTTTCAGTCAACAATACAGCTATAATTGGCTTACTTCACTAATACGTGCGTTTACAGAATGGTGTGATATCCAGCCTAACATCCATACACAAAACAAAAATATCTACATTTGTACGTAATCGATCCTTATCAGACTAGAAAATTATTCTGTCAATTTCCATTTTCTTTCGTTCTAATTTTACCTCTGCTTTTATACCACACAGTTGCGAATTTAACATTTATTTTGAGAGGCAGAATTGTCTTTATTTCAATAATGAATTATTTTCAACAAAGGAAACATGAAGACTACAGTATAACGTCCTTTTTGTTTTTTATATCGAGGATACATACCATACCAATCAATGAAAATATATCAATTGTTCTACTTAACAATACGCTGCCTACCCCAACTGAAGTGATAGCGGTGAATACATTACGTCAGTGACAGTGATATATTGTACTGAAAGCGATATTTTTTTCACCGTACATACTTGTCATCTGATGTCGTGATAGCGGTACAGCCATCACACCGTATGTATAGAATACCAGGTGGTAGTGGTAGTGATTCCATGTGCAACGTGTAGTTATTGAGGGAAATCGTTTATGTGATATGCTACAGGTGCCTGTTATCAAATGTCGAGATCCTGGTAAATATGTTACACCGTATATGACAGACATAATCAAACTGTTCTCATTCACTCTTATCTTCATGATTGGACTGTTTGAAAGATGATAAGACATTTTTTAAAGATATCAGAAATAATTAAAAAAAACAAGAATTTAAATGAATACTGATGTTAATGTTGAAATCGTCATTAGGACAAAAAAGATTACGAAACCACTGTCAAAGGTAATACATACAGGGAAATCATGAAAAAAAATACAATAAAACATGTATGTTTTAGAATGGGTGTATATGCCTCCCACTCATCAAGTGCCTTTAGTTCTATAATTGTTTACACAAACTGTATGTCTGAAATTGTCTGTTTCAGTATATCAGTAGATCTTTAATCTGGATCAAATAGTTAATCAATCAATTATTTATTTTTTTTTATATTTCACACTTGTGACAATGGATGGAAATATGGTTAAGTCCTGCTGTTAACGGCTTACGAGAAACTTTTGATATTTATACAAAAACAATACCACTTGAAATGTTCATTTGTTTGATCTGTCTATTACTGAAAAAGTGACATAAAATTCAAGCGTTACAGTCAGTACAAGATCGATCCTTGTTACTATCGTCAAATTATTAACGCTAGCATATCTCAAATATTCATTTCGAGTTTCTTTTTTTTCATTTATTGCCGGGGCTATTTATGATATTGGCATGGATGGAAGTTATGATGTGTGGTCAAGTTCCTCATGATAATACTAACTGATTCGTGGCATTATAGAGTGAAGATTTGGTGATTTTTTTTTTCTACCAATAGTTAAAATAAATTCGATTTACCTCCCTTCATATACCAATAAAATTGTATGATTCTAGGAACGATAACTCCTAGTGGGATTCATCCTATATTTTTTATCTCGTGAATATAAATGAGTAAAGAAGAAAAACTACACGACAGTAAATTCTGTAAAATTGCATTTTTATTGTTTTAAAGGGAAATCACAGACTAGACGCTAAGAAATAAATGGAGAGGAGATAATGACACTGTAGATAAACATGTATAAAACACATGGTAATGATGTGAAAATACTATTCATGTATATAATATCTTATCTTAAGTATGCATATTTCTGTTCGTATACCAATTCTGTTGTGGTAAACTTGATATAGATACCAAATAAGAACTGTTGTCAGTACCAGACAAGTACCGAGGTTTTAATACTATCCAACAGAGAGGGCGACTTCGGTAGTTACAGAATTCTGTATCTCACAGATTTTCATTATTATTTCATTCCATTTCGTGATTCATGCTGTGATCGACAATTTTAGACAGTCCCATTTAGACACAGTAGCATTGGCCGTACGGCCTTACATACCCTATGGAATTAAGATTTGAATTGAAAATTCATGCAGATAAAGAAATATATAATATGAATATACAAAAATCATGAATAAAGGACGAAAGAGGTCGATGGATACAAAGATAGATCATGAGTCAGATAAGACAGAAGTGCGTCTATTTTTGGAATTAAACACATATATTGAACTAAACGATTACCTAGATGAATAAAGCCAGCACTGTTTAAATACTTTTCATTAATATAGTCCGTATTGTGGTGTTTCTTATTCCCGTAATGTGATTATAAAATTAGAGAGAAAATATTTCCCCAATCTAAAGTCCACTCTGTTATAACTGAACACAAGGGGGCGTTACACAATGCGATATTTAGACCCTCTACTGTTACACATACATGCAGCTAGGGTAGCATTCCTTAATTGTCTTGATAAGTATATACTGAACTTTGTTTGAGACACAAAAACGAGAAGTACGTGTGTAACACGATTCACAGATGGCCGTCAAGAATGGTTCACAAAGAACTGATATTGAAATAGCTACAGTGTACTTGCAATGGAAAATGCTGGAAGAAAATATCATTCAGATCAAATAATTCGGTGCACACGGTCCAGCTTGTCACCGTATCAGTTCGCAACGCAATAAGTTGTGGAAGGTTATTGACATCCATTGTCATAATAGGATCAGATGCTGACGTCATATCGGTGTCCTCCAAATATGATAATGTTTCTGTCAGCTGAACACACATTAAGAATAACAAATATCTAATGACACTTGGTCTATTTTAATGTTCCTTAAATTGCCGGAAGATCTCTGCATTGTCAACACTTTCACAGCTTTCCCTTAATATCACAGATTTCTTGTCTCTTCCAGTGGGACGAATGCTATATCGCTCCCTAGAATATCCGAATGACATATTTTTGATTCATTGCAAATTTGGTAAAGAACATGCCTGTCAAGCTATTCCACGTGCAAATTTGAATGTAAATTGTATTGTTGAAATCTTTTTCTGCCAATACAAAGATATACCAGCTTATTGTTTGCTGACAAATTTTTACCGAGCAGATAGGTTTACAGAGACGTCCGTTTAATATCACAATCTGTTTCTGTAGAGACTACGACATCTTTGGTCCACTCTGAACTCTCCATTGGAACTGGCGACAAATTGGGTCTGGCTGCTATAATGTATATTGATAACTCCCGAAGAAATTCGTTCCAGTTCACTTTTCTGAAAAAATATCAAATAAATCAATCAATCAATGAATTATGGCTATATTTAAGTAAAAAAAAAAACAAAAACAAAAACAAAAACAAAAAATGACGAAATGAGATTTGATTTCTGGCTTTCTAAATTATGGAAGACAAAAAATTAAGATCAAACAAAACCCTTCAGATAGTACACTACCCTGACTATCAGTATGTAACTATATGCTAAATTAAACACTATCGTACGGACAAGGTATCGATATGGTTGACATGGGTTTACTGTAAATCACTTCAAATATAATAGGACACATGTCATAGAAAGACGGTTGATTTGTTATTTATTGGATGTACAAGCGATTGTACAAGATCTTCCCATATACATTAAGGATTAGATACAGTAGAGTCAAATATAGAACTGAACTGCAGCTGTTTTGGTCTTCTAAAAAATAGGACACGTCAACGATGCCAAAGGCCTAAATTGTGAAACCTAAGAGCTGACTGATGAAAATCAAACTTTGTCGAAAGGAATACGTGAACAAAAACCAGCCCGAAAAATGCACTTACTGGGCTAAAAATAAAATCAATCTCATAAAATTCGATATCACATCTTTTTTATTTTTTTACCAGCGAATCCCATGTGGAGTAGTGATGTCATAAATTCCCTTAACTGATAACAATTAGCTCTTCGACCGAAGATTGTTTTAGTAAATAAATGTATTCGGCACGCTCTTACTTATTACGCACTAGCTTTCAATTATCTTTCGTTACATATAATTTGCAAGAGAAATCTATGTCAAGTCTATACTAGCATAGACCATCTTTAGGTCCTGAAAAGTAGATATTATGTTTCAGTGTTGAGACTGGTTTTAATGGAACTGAGATTTAAATTAGAAAATTGAGCCGCATTAACGTCATACGTACACGCACTGGCTGCTTGTCCATGTATTAGGGGTTCTCAACATACATCACACTTATCAAATCCCTTTCCCTACCATTAAAATTACATGAAACTGCTATATAAGCACAACCAGGAAGACCGAAGTAGTTACTTATGCTAACTACGACTTTTATGCTTTTCCACAGAATTAGCAATACATGTTATACTACTCAGATTCAGCATAATCTATGTCTGTATTTGTTATATTCTGACGTCTCCATTGTTACGACACCACCAGTATTACAGAATTACTATTCGTTTCCATACACAGCAGATTCACAAAGTCATTCTGGTGCCATCCCTACCAAATCTTCTTCAGCGGATAATACATGTTTGCAAAAATCGATGGTGCCCGTGTAACGTTGTGTGATCTCACAACTATACTCTCCTGATTTTTTTCTGTCAATAGAGCGTGCATGACATTTTCTTTGAAATGTTATGTAAATATATCGTTTTTTTTCTTTTGATAACCTAATGAGGGGGCTTACTACAAACTAAACTCATACTGATTGTGTATAACATATTACACTGATTGCCTGGTTACTGCGTGTAATACATATTACACTGATTTTCTGGTGACTGTGCGTTTCCTATCTTTGTCTTATACATATCACAATAATTGCTTGGTAACTGTACATGTCCTATTTTTCTGTAATGCATAAGGTAGTGATTGTCTAGAAATGAACAATACAATGGATAATTTATCACTGTAATATTGTTATAAAGCACTATTCTTTTACACTGTTATCTGATATCCATATTAAATGTTATATCAAAATGATTACTCTATTACTTGTAAGTTGCAAATGAAAAATATAAACTGACAACCCTGTATGCATATAAATGATAATGATGCTGATATGATTATATGGCCTTTTTGTTTAATATCTTTAATCGAAGTATTGGAAATATATATGCTATTATATAGGAATCCTATTACATTGTAGAATAACGGTTATATAATTACCTGCTACTCTCCACGCTGGTATCCATAGTAAAGGTCAGCATCTCAGCAACAATATACCATAATTCTCCTTCCTTGTTAGAAGACATAATTGTGAATCTGAAAGAATTTCCAATTTATCGTTATCGATGTATTTTTCTACACTTAATGAAAATACCATTCTTAATCAAACAAGTTAGACTTAGAAACATCGAATGTTTACTTGTTTGTCACGTTGCTTTTCATAAATGAGAAAGTCTAATTATATATAACGTTGAAAGTTATAAATAAATACATGCTTCATTAAGAATCCAAGGACATGAACTTCCAATAGTGTACCTAAAGATTTAACAACTACGACAATATCGTTGGTTCTATGATAATTACAATCTTTTATTCTTATGAAAATGTCCGTTCATATAAGATGTCTTACAATAATAGTATGATAGCATTATCTCCATGGTAGTTTGCTGATACAATGGATTTAACATCGATAAACAATATACATATATGTAATATTTTATCATCTATAGTAATATACATAAAGTATTACTAGTACATTTATGTATCAGTAACATACCACAGAACTATGTCATACAATATACGTTTATTATAATGTACTATAATGTATACAATTAAATGCGTTACAGCAGATATAAGTATAACATGTGTACTACATAAAGTGTTCAATATTTCTGTCAATAACACGAATTACAACGTTTGTAACTGATACAGTAGGGTAGGATTTGCTATTGAGAAACAAAATGTTTAATTCTACACAATTTCCTTTAAAGACCTTTATTCTATCAATGTGTTCACGTGAAATGAAAAGCTTTTATACACCAACCAAATTTACATCGATGAAATAGATACATTTCAGGCTGGCGAACCACATTTTATCCATATTATTGATTTTAAATCCATTAGGTGTAATAGAAGATGGGGAACGAGCTCTACCCTACGATGAATTATAGATGATATGATTTTTATCTGTGTGTACAATTAGAAGACAAGTCCTCAATGCTAATCTTTAAATCGGATGTGCTGAAATATTCCCTATGCAAGATGCTAAGTTGATCGGATCTTGAGTAAGAAGATTTTCGTTTAACAATGAAAAGCAGTGGGAATAGGAAACAAAACTTACCCGTTTAAAGTGTCATCGTTCTCTAGAAACAAGGTGTACCAAGAGGCCAAAGCTTTCTTAGCATCGTATTCTCTTATTTCACCACTGTTCGCGTCATCAAAGTTGTGAAACAGGCGATAAGCAAGTTCTATCTCTCTTGGATAAAGCAGTCGTGTGATTGCATTCTGGATAAAACAAAATTTATTTTCCACATTTGAAACATCTTTTAAACCAAAAGATATGAATAAGTTTATAAATATATTAATCACAGATGTGTCAGTTCAGAGTCTAGTACTAAATTAGGAGTCCTAGGGATTTTCCCCTCGATCTGGCTTAAATATGTCCTTTTACATTCTGTGTATACTAATTCTTAACCAAAACTGTTTTCCCTAAAAAAATTACAATACTTATTTCAAAAAGAAGCCTTTGATATACAAACCTTTCCACGTCTCAGAAGAATTTTTATTGACTCGTAATTAAGAAATTCCCACCATGTTACCGATCCGGAGTTTTCTTTATCCAATCGATGAAACTGTGCCATTTCGTCTTGTAGCTCGGCTTTAGGTAGAGAGACAGTATGTGTGTCTTTGTATGCACGCTTACGGTACGTCAAATACTCTTCCAACGATATACTTGAATCTGTAAATCGTAAAGCATATTACAGTTTTAAAGCATGTTATTCCGAACTTTATCGTGAAGTCGATATCCTTATTAAAAGTAAATTGAATTGAATATAACATCTCCAGACTCAAATATGCTTCTAGCCTAAGATTTGTTGTTGATAGTGTACATTGTTCATGCAGGATAACAAGAGGAATTCAATTTCAACCACATTTAACAAGTTAATAAGTAATCCTTATGTTGTTCAAATAAGTTCACCTTTTATATACTAACCTTGAGTTAAATCATACTTTTCAAATGAGTCTAACAATGCAAATAGTTCCTCTTCTGTTAACATATTACTGCAGTCGTCCTATCATAAGAAAAAACAGTTTATTGTAGTATTTAATAGAACATACACCGAGAACGAGTAGGAGACGCAATAGACACCTCATGTTATTGACATACTGGTACGATCACGCTGACAACACCATAGATGTAGAGGGCCATGCCACGGGGGAGAGAGGATGGGGTTGAAGTAGAGACAAAGTTGTGTTTCAAATTATCAAAATACAAGAACTTCTTAGTGCACTGTCTGTTCCCTCCTGAGTAGTTAGAGACGATTACAATGCATCTACAATTTAATGGGTTCGCTGTGTTATCCTTATCGACATTTTCCTGGAACAAAGCATTACAAAGGTAAGGAGATACCGTATGGAAATAGAAATGAAATTGTCTTATCACCAATGCTGGCACTACGCCAATCAAAGACATCTGCAGGAAACACTGTCACTGTCATAATAGCAAGCTCAAAATAACGATTAACTGTAGGGCCAAACCTTCAGCAGTGAACAAGATAAATCGAGGATTAGCATTTAGGAGACAGACTTTCAGCGAGGTACAAGTTAGAGCAATGAACATATTAAGGGACATCCCTTCCGCATATTATAGGGTAGACTTATTAATTTTAGGGGAAAGACTTTGAAAAGGTACAGGGTAGAGTTAGGATTAACTTTAAGGGACAGACCTTCAAGAAAGTACACCGTAAAGTTATGATTAACTTTAAGGGACAGACCTTCAACAAAGTACACTATGGATTTATTATTAACTTTATAGGACAGACCTTCAGATAGGCCCAGGATAGAGTTATGATTAATTTTAAGGGACAAGCCTTCAGCAGAGTACAATGTAGAGTTATGATTAACTTTAAGGGACAACCCATCAGCAGGGTACAATGTAGAGTTATGTTTAATTTTAAGGGACACCCCTTCAGCAGAGTACAATGTAGAGTTGTGTTTAACTTTAAGGGACAACCCATCAGCAGAACACCGGTTAGACTTATGATTAACTTTAGGGATCTGACCTTCAGCAAATGCCAGGTAGAGTTATAATTAACGTTAGGGGACAGATCTTCAGCAGAGTACAAGTTAGAGTTTTAATTAAGTTCAGGGGCCAGACAGACATATGTAAATATCGTGCTAAAGCAAACTTACTACCATTTATAAATGTTACTTTTTTTCTCAACATTCTACTGTTAATAAATTATAAATCAATTACACTTGCAATCTGGTATAGATACTGTATTTATTCAAATTGCTTTCTTGTGTATGTTGTACCTATTCAAATGCGTTACATCGTGTGTGTGTGAGTTGTGTTTATTAAAAACTTGCTACCTGTGTAGATACTATGCTTATGCAAACTTGCTACCCATGTAGATGTTGTTTTTATTAAACACTAGTACCACGTATAAACACAGACTGTTACAGTAAAGAAAGGTAATAATTCCAAACGACAACTTTCTTGATAGAGCTTATACATTCCACCACTATCTTATTTTTATGAACCTGAAGTCTTAATTATGCTAAAATGTAAACGTATCAGAGCACATTTCGAAGAAAACAAAACAAACAACACAATTAACTAAATTTGTTTACTTTGAAAATTATCCCAGTCGGTTTTGACAATAATGTGCAGTCGCTACAGATGTGTTTTGTATACAATACTTTCCAAAGTTAATTGAACTTTGCATATCGTTTGTTAAGAATCTTGCTTTGTGTTGTATCAAAAACATAAGGTCTCAGTCTAAATCTGAGTAATATTATCTGTATGTTAAGCATGCACTGTGCCAAACATTTCCACCAAATCAAAATTGTGCAAGGTTTTGTACAGCTTTATGTTAAACAGTGGTAAACATTGTGTTTACCCAAAACTTTATAGATTTTCTGTTTACTTGCAAATGTCGAAAAGACACAACGAGATAAAAGCATTTCGCATTGTTTGTTCCTTATCTTAATTGGGATGTATGGATTAGACTCTGTGTAAGAATCAATATTCAAAATACTTCAAATGATAGGTCTATACGGACGTTAAGCGTGCATTCCTTGCATTCCTGGAGGATGGTGCGGTAAACATATGGGTCTTCGATGCAATAGATGTGGGGATAACGGTTTATCAATATAGAATAAAATACTAATGCAATAGACACAGTGTCTGAGTCAAATAAAGCATATATAACATAGGAACGTAATGGCCTTTTGTGAAGTGACTGATGAAGGAAAGTTCCAGACAGACAAGGCACAGATTATGTCTCGGTCGATATCCATCTACTATTGTACAGGTCTGGCATCGAAATCGGTCGACCGTACAAAGCAAGGAACGTGTCAATAATAAAGATTGTTTTGCCCGTCATCACCAGACTCCGAGGTACCATCAATGACTAACGAGATTTGCTGGCTTGTGAATCTTATGTCTTCATGTCTGTATACACTGCATTGATCATAATTATAGTGGAAGTGCGCATGTACTTTCCTCAAATAAATGTACAAATATACATTTGATAAATGAACGTATTCTTATGACATTTCATGATGTAATAAATATGATTCTGCGAAGTACTTTTAGTTAAAATATAACATGCCTATTTAAATAAAAATGTTCTGATTTATTCAATGATTTTGGCAGTAAGCTTTAATGATAAAACATTTAAAAACTACGACAGTTTAACATAACTTTGGTAGAATTCATGAAGTAAATCAGAATTGACATTCATGCAGTATATATCAAAGACAAAGTATTGCATTGTAAATAATATCCAATATATAATTGATGACCTTTACACGTCGCTCAGACATGTTAAAGGCATGAATCTGGAATACAACTGCTTATAGATTCTGTATCAACTTATGGTATGTATCAAATACTACATCTTCGATAGCATATACCAGGGCAAAATTGAGAAGCATGCATATGAGAGAAATGAATTGATTCCTCTATAATATATGATATATGAAATCAACCGTAAATCAAAAGTCTATTCCACTTACATGTATTAAAGATTAAAAAAGCTGATATCGTTAAGACTTGCTAACAATCCAATAATCCAAAAGTAAATAAAGCATTTAAATGTTCGGCTGTAAATTTAAATTTGCGGTTTTATTTATTTCTAAATTGTGTGTTTAGATATATGACAATTTAAGGGTGTACATTAAAAAACTTGTATATGTATTTGTTATGTAATATTGTTATGCATCAGCATTTCTAGCAGTTCATTAATGCTTTACCAATTGCATTCCACTCTTGACTTGCTCAGGTAAGTTATGTAAGGCAACGTAACAAACAGCAAGCTTTCAACTTTACGGTCAATAAAGTGCCATGTTGTGCATTTTGTAACTTAGAACTCATATATCAAATACACGATATTTATACGCTATAATGGAATACCTTATGTTTGTTTAAGTTAATAAATAAGAAATGTTCATTTGAGAAACCTTGAACAGAACTATTTTAAGTTGTTTCGTTGAAGTCAGACACTACTAATAGCATTCACTTGTGATAAATGAAATCCAATTTTGTGCCTTTTGTAAATGTAGTACAGACATGTATATCAAGTGTCGTTATTTTGTTTATGTTCTATGTAATATTAACATCCCCACATCTTCTTGGAAAATAATTGCGTAGTATTCAGTTACACATAATGTATGCTGCTATTGTGGAGTGTACTTGTTCTTTGTTATTTATTCTTCTTTCCTTGTGTAGAAATGTGGTCTGCTTTCAAATCACTGACAGCTGTATGTGTATTCGTGTGTGTGTTTAAGAGTTGAACGCCCGGACGGAAACATGAAAACTATTATGGCAAATCGATATCACGACTTCTCCCGATCTTCCTTGTAAGTTCTATAGAAAAACCTAAACCGTCACTTAATAACGAGGCCGTGTCAAGGTCAACCATATAGGTCGACGACACGAGATATGAACGACAATCATTGATATGATACCTTCCTGTATTAAATCATTTCCATCCAGATATTTTGTATTAACGTTGTTGAAAAGGAGCCACATGCAAATTTATCACAGTGAGAATTTAATAATATGCATGTTTCTACATCACTGATAACATGAGTATGAAATAAATGTGCCTTCTAAATACTAGAATTGATGTAGCTGTAGTAGGTTGTGTTGTTTTGTTGCAATGAGTAAATAAGAGATTCTTACACATTCGTGACAGCTCCAGCCCTTTGGCTTCAAGGCCCTCTTGAGAAGAAGACAAGAAGCTGGATCCTTACAATACCCAAGCTTATGGAGACATCCCTCGTGGTAAACCTTACAACATATTCTACACGGATATGTTTCCCTGCCAGTGTATACACTGCAAATATGGCACAATTCTTCCGGTCGAACCTGCAATAATCAGAATTAATAGAACAAAATGAGATGTGAAGAAATACAGCATATGAAATTTGACAAATGACAGTTAAGTCAACTAAGTCTGACCTTATTTATTGAACTATCATCCATATTTATATAATTTTAGTGAAAAACGGAGGTAGCATTAGAATACTTAAGGTTTTCATTATTATTACATTAATACCTTTGGTAAAGCTGTCTACATGTACACTGTCAACATGTACAATGTATGATCATTCTGTTTCCCTTGAATATATTCATTTTTATTTCTGTGTAATGAAAATTCTGCATGCATAATGTGACTTACGAAACCTATCCTGTAGTTAACATTAAACTCCATGTCTGTTCATGTTTCAATTGATCAAACTGACAAATCACACTCATCTCATTTTCACTTTTGTTGTTTCAGCACCTTTACCTCCACTTCCTTTCATATGCAACCGAAGCTCATTTTTGTATGAAAATACATGTAAAACACATGATCTTCTGTGAATGGTATTTTACATACAAACAACTTAGCTATGTGTTTCCTGAAAACTTGCGAAAATAAATATTATGAAAAAACAAATACTTCAATATTTTGTACAGAAGATTGGTCCCATTAATGACATTCGCCAATATTCCAATTCACCACCTTCACAGAAACAAGCAAGTTCTAATTTAACACCTAACCGCAGACCTCAGATCTGAAAAAGTGTGAACATCATTGTGTTGACATGCTTGATAACACCTGTACTTTTATTTAACTTGCCTTGACAGCTAATAATAAATATAATCACATCCGGATAATCACACTTAGAACATTAAACAGAATATAGATACTATCCTATTTTTCATACAACAAACTGCTTACTGACCGATCTGGTTACAACCTAAATACTGCGAAACATGGTTAATCATTCTGGGAATGGTGTTATAGCAATTCTTTTGTTTTCTGAACTTGCTAGCTCTCACTCGTCGCGTACTGAACCATCCCTGATGGAGTTATCTCAATTGAGTGACGTTATTTCCCTCGATAACAAAACATCAGAACTGCGCTGTAAATTTATCGAGGATATTCCTACATTTCCTGCTATGTTTAATACTGCTGTCGCCTTCAATCTGTCAGCTACATATCCTATTTGTCTTAAAAAAAAACAAATTTAAGAAATATTAATAGCATAAAATCAAAGGAGTAGGAGGTCAGCAAACCTACACCCTTACTGAGCTTATTTCGGTCAAACAAACTGACACAAGACACACCGACTTATCTTAAAGACTCGACGTTTAACAAAGGTCTGTGTATTTTGAAGTCTGTACGTCTGTAATAATCAATGAAGATTTTACAGTTACACAAATCTAAACGCATATATTGCTTTTCACTTTTTAAAACGGATTTAAGATTATGGCTGTATTTGTGATTTATACGTAGCAGAAACAACATTCAATGCTAAACAGAATTTTAGAGATCTTTGAATTATGTATATTGCAAAACTTATAGTGTATTGAAGGGAAAGCAAAAAAAACATCGGAAAAATTTCGTGATAATATTCCTTTCTGTAATTTACCAGAATATAGAAATGTTAAACGCTGCCATATATTCTCCTGATCTATCAAAACAAAACCAGAAATTAATATGCTGATGTTTCTAAGATGTGAAAACGATTTTAAATATAGACAGAGCTTTCATGTTAGACACTAATGGACACCGAGTTCATTGACCCTCAACATCGATAGGGTTTAAATGTCAATTTGATATCATTAGTTTCCAAATGCCGTCTTTCTAAACATAGCACGTCTACACAGAAGAGGTGTGTCACCTATAGTTTTACGCAACGGATTTCCAGGGGTTTCATCTACGTCAAGGGTGATTGCATGGAAAGCTTCTTGTACAGGATAGATAATATCACCGTGTCTATGGCGTAGAACTCTTCCAACTCCTCTCGTTTAAGTCTACATTTCAGGGATTTCACGGTCGTTTACGAACCTATGACGTAAATGGGTCCTTAACGGTATCAATAACTGCAGAACGACATTAAATGAAATTATCTATTCACTCAAATTATGGCCCTACCCAAATATACCTAATGCCGGAAAATAATCTCATTCGTTTAGGCAAGTATTTGATCCAACCGAGAAAGTAATTTACGATAAATGTCAATATCTTAAAGCAGAACATCATCCTCGGTTTTTAGATGCGTTATTTATAATTTATGACACTTAACTCAATCGTTAGGTTACCACACTCCTTTTTCTCACGAAATTCCCGCAAGTAATCTAATCGAAAAATGCATTGATACAAAGCGATTAACTTGCCTCGATGAATGGATTGTATTGTTTATTTGGAACAAATTATTAAACACGCTATTCACGAGATCACTTAAATGATAATCGTTTTATGTGAAGGCATAGTATGAGATACCACTCTTGGATGTGTTTCCATAGATAGTGATATGATGCTTGTTGACATCTACTAGACTGAAGGTGTGGTACATGTATGGCTTGGTGGAAACATGATCGAATGAATTATTCTTGCCAGTTTCTACGCAAAGGATTGCCATTTCATGTTTCGAAAGTAATGCCATATTTGTAGCTGCAATAGTAGCTATGTTGTCGTTTATGTACCATCAGTAAGAAATACTTTTTAGAGAAAACTGTCTTATATACCCCTCCCATCAATATGGGTAAATACAATGAATTAAGTCAAACAATATAAAGACGGATATGTTGGGACATTCAGGAAGGGACCTTATTTTGATATCACATATCTCCTTGGTAACCACACAATGGAACATTGAACGATCTGTGAGGAGAGTGATTGATTGTTGGACCTTGATCAGTGGCTGATGATGTTAGTCTAACAGTAGCTATGGTGTTTATCTAATTGCCAACAATTCGTTGCCATTATTCCGTAACCTGCTGTAGAATGTCACCTATTCGTGTCATAAGCTGCAACTAGAGTGACAAAACATTTCAATACCAAGTCCATGGACGAATTACGCCGTCGCTTGGCAGATATGGTTTCAAAATTAATCTCATAAAGATAAGCGACCAATGGAAATGTTCGCGTTTACGACCAAGAGGACAAAGGTCTACTCTGCAATCGTGAACAATATCGCACAGTTTGAATCGATATTACAATAACTAGACGTAACGTTTCTTTCATATCCTTTGTGAATAATATTTTTTCTGCATATAAAATCGAACCATAGTAAAGAAAATTTGATGATAGTGACATTCTCTGATGCATCGTATTAAATCTCGAATGTAGCAAAGCCCGTCCGTGTTTCATTTATGCTCTTAAAAATATAATCGTAAGTGAGAAAAGAAAGATGTATCACTTAAACCTTAAATGGAGCTTATATTAGCATTGAGTTTACATGTATCTCTATTTGTAATGTGTCTTAAGGACACTGAGTGCTATATGTATCTCTATTTGTATCTTAAGGACACTGAGTGATATATGTATCTCTGTTTGTATGTATCTTAAGGACACCGAGTGATATATGTATCTCTATTTGTATCTTAAGGACACCGAGTGAAATATGTATCTCTGTTTGTATCTTAAGGACACTGAGTGATATATGTATCTCTGTTCGTATGTATCTTAAGGACACTGAGTGATATATGTATCTCTATTTGTGTGTATCTTAAGGACACTGAGTGATATATGTATCTCTATTTGTATCTTAAGGACACTGAGTGAAATATGTATCTCTGTTTGTATCTTAAGGACACTGAGTGATATATGTATCTCTGTTCGTATGTATCTTAAGGACACCGAGTGATATATGTATCTCTGTTCGTATGTATCTTAAGGACACTGAGTGATATATGTATCTCTATTTGTGTGTATCTTAAGGACACTGAGTGATATACGTATCTCTATTTGTATCTTAAGGACACTGAGTGAAATTTGTATCTCTGTTTGTATCTTAAGGACACTGAGTGATATATGTATCTCTGTTCGTATGTATCTTAAGGACACCGAGTGATATATGTATCTCTGTTTGTATGTATCTTAAGGACACCGAGTGCTATATGTATCTCTATTTGTGTGTATCTTAAGGACACTGAGTGATATATGTATCTCTATTTGTGTGTATCTTAAGGACACTGAGTGATATATGCATCTCTGTTTGTATCTTAAGGACACAGAGTGATATATGTATCTCTATTTGTGTGTATCTTAAGGACACTGAGTGATATATGTATCTCTGTTTGTATGTATCTTAAGGACACTGAGTGATATATGCATCTCTGTTTGTATCTTAAGGACACTGAGTGATATATGTATCTCTATTTGTGTGTATCTTAAGGACACTGAGTGATATATGTATCTCTATTTGTGTGTATCTTAAGGACACTGAGTGATATATGTATCTCTGTTTGTATGTATCTTAAGGACACTGAGTGATATATGTATCTCTGTTTGTATCTTAAGGACACTGAGTGATATATGTATCTCTATTTGTGTGTATCTTAAGGACACCGAGTGATAAATGAATCTCTACTTTAATGTTTCTTAAGGACATTTAGTTATATTTGTATTTATATGAGTGTATAACTTATATAGACTCTGAGTTATATATGTATCTTACGCACTTCCAGTATTTATCGCCATGTATGTATTTATTTATATATATTTTTTTTTATATATATTTTTTTTAATTTTTTTTTATATTTTTTATTTTATTTTATTTTTATTTTATATTTTATATAAATATATTTATATTTATAGAATATCTGTTAACCTGTTTATAACCTTAGAGCCTGACATACATTAACATCACATCTTTAGTGTAGCATCTCATGATCAACAAGATTAACAACAAGGGTTCAGATATACATGTATATCTGATCCCTGACATGAACTATCATCATCTGTGAATCAAATGTATATCTGGACACTGACTTGAACAAGTATCATTAGTGTATCAAATGTATATCTGAACCCTAATAGCATCCTTAGCGTATCATACGTGTATATGAACCCTGACATAAACCAGCATCAT